GTAATCCTTGGCCGGTGGTATTTGGCTTACTTGACACACTCAAGTCGACATTTTAGCCATGCAACTATCGTACATGGCTTTGTTGTGCTGATACAGATTAATAGTATCAGTTGCCCTGTGATGTAGCAACCGGAGCAAGGCAGGTACTGCACAATACCTGATGCTGTGCAGCATCTTCTTTATCAAAGCCAAAATAGTTCCACACAACTGACGTACTGCTCCTCTTTAACACTAAAGCTTCTGCAGTGCCGGGTTCTGTCGAGCCTGAGGCCATTATACAAAAGGTCAAAGTGTAGCATGTGTTGCTCCCTCTATTAGCGGACTGCTCTACTCTCTCTTGCATGTCACGTGACCAGAGTGTAATCGCAGCCTTTGCGGTTAGAAAACTGTGTTTTATCATATGGAATATTATTGCAAAAGCAATTAATCGTTCAGCCCTAGTGGGTGAGCATATGCTTGCCACAAGCCGGCATGCACCAAAGTCTTGGCCTCATTCGTGTCCCTCCTCTTTGTCCATTTTTGGATTACCCGGGATTTCGGCGGAGTCAGGCACTGGCAAGATGGAGATGGTGGAGCAGCCATCTTTGAGCTTCAAAATCACTCTTCACAAACCTGTGGGTGATGTCATGGCTCTGTCCATCTTTATTCACAGTCTAAATGCTCTACCTGTCTCTTCCCTGCCTGGTTACTGCCCTCTCCCTGTGGCGAACTGATGCCTCTTTATCACTGTTGTTAGAGTATGTTGGGTGGTCAGTAGAGGACACGAACATGCAGTGAAATTGAAAACAGACGGAGCAACTTCAGGTTTTAGGCTGTTGTTCCAGTGAACAACTAACTTGCTTGACTCAAAGGTCTTTTTCTCAATGTAATCTTCCTCTTCCTTCTTTCTCTACAGCACTGCTAGCCACCGCAGCAGTACCGCTCTCTGTTTCAGCAGCACTTTATTAAAATGTACAGTTTTGTCATTGGCTTTACCCCTGTAGAAATCATTTTTACATCCAGGAGCAATACAATAGTGGCCTCCCTTTTGTATTCTGATATCCCGTGGCTCGTCAGCCTCCATCTTTTGCTGTCTCTTCAATATCTATCTTTCACTCTCTGTGTTTCACCCTCTCTATCTATCACATCTCTATCTTTCACTGTCTCTGTCTTTCATTGTCTCTACCAGTGCATCTGTTCAATACAGTGGGGCAAACCAACCCTGTGACATCACAAGTTTAAAACATAATGAGCAAAGTAGAAGAAGCACTGAAGCACTGTTTCTATTTGCATAAAGTATGAATAAAAACAGATCTGAGTGCAGATAACATTTGTTCCTTTGTGGGGGTTTTTTTGTATTTGACTGCGACTTCACAAATAAGTACACAACATACTTTTGTTTAGGGATCTGAATATACTCTACATGTAAAGTGTACTGTGATGTCACAAATGCCGTCCTACAAACAGACATTCATCCGCTCAGTTCAGCCTCAATGACACTTTTCAAAATGTGGAGATGAGAGCATGTCTGGAGGCACCTTTTAAACCCAGCATGGGTTTGCTTCGGGACACAGGAGACAGTAGGTCAAATGGTTTGGAAAAGCATCACAGGGCATTCCAGCCGTCAGATGACATCTGTTGTCCCCTTCATTCCTCCCCATAGACAGAGTTCTGTTCCCTCTGCTTATCTGATCCCTGCAGCAGAGCAGACGCGGGGCGTCAGGGTGGGAGTTTGATAGTTCCGAACAGAGGGCACCAATTATATCTGCATCATCACCACATCACTTCTAATCCAGCCACCTCTGTCTGTGATTCAGAAACCAAGAAGCCGATCCACATTTTGGATACACAGAATTACACAGAACAAAGGCTGACCCATCTGAATGTGGTCAGACATCTCTGTGCACCATTCTTCACAGCACCACAACAGAGATGTATTACTGTGGGACGTTATCTCCACAGTGGCATATCACATGATATAATGCCAGGCAGTGGTACCACCAACATCATTCAATTGACATCACATGTGGAATCCAGTTCGCTCTTATCTTTGAGTCTGATCTGGTGCTCAGTGGCTCAGAGGCAGCGGTGGCATTCTGTGGGTATCTGCTCTGTCTGTCTCACGAATGCAGTCAGAGCGGTCGGACACTTACTGCATTGTTGGGGCAGAAACTCTGAAGTCAGATAGTGAGAGGCAGAAGTCTGGCATGCCATGAAACTGGGTCTTTGTTCACAGGCATCCCTCTGAAGACCTACAGACTTGGCCACTGTTAAAAACCAAACTCAGTCCACTGAAGAGATGATGAGATGACATTAATTTAAGGCCTCAACTTGGGAGCAGTCGCAAACTAGGTTAAAGATTTTAGCTCCACCCTGTTCTGGCCTTGATGAACTCCCACTTCTCATATACTCTCATGCAGTAACCATATACAGGAGGAGACTCAGGGGAGGGGAGTGTGGAATAATCACTGTGGACCACCAATGCCTTTCAAAAGTGGAGAAAAGAGGGAGCAACACTGCCCTCTGCTGCACCCATGCCATCACAACAAGTATCCTGTATATAGCTGCATTACATGTTATCAACCAGCAGATGGCAGGATGCAACAGTGTCCACTGTACTGTTCCTATGGAACAGCATCTACAGAGCATTGAATAGCTCCATTTAAAAAAAAAAATGTACCCAATAAAGTAACCCATAACTATAAAAGTGAGACAATTTATGATGTATTGTTGCTTTAAACATGTTTGCTTAACAATCCTTGGAAAATACTCAGTGGAAGAAAAGCACTCATATTTTTTTTATTTAGGTACAACACAGTATCAAAATCTCGTTCTGCAGAAAAAAGACCCCTATGACTAATGTACATTAGGCTGTTATGTTGTTAACGCTGATGAGCACTGTGCTGGTATTTACCGTTGTAGCTGGTTCAGGTGGAGCTACTTTTAACAACTTTAGAGTTTAGTCTAGTTCAGTGGTTCTCAGTCTGCGGCTGAGTCCCCTCCGCAGTGCTACAAGATAAATGTGAAGGGTCAAGAAAGGAGTTAATGGGAGAGGAGGGAAGAAAAACAAAGTGCTGCAACACAAATCTGCATTCATTTTTGTGGACTGTTTGTTTCTTCTGCTACATAAAGCTGCCTTACAATAGAAAAGTGAAGAACTGCAGGTCGATTTTTACCATGGATGCTTTAGACATTTTTTATTAATGGGGAGGCTTTGTTGTACACAGCTGCTGACACTGATTACAGTTAATTACTGAAAAAAATGCAACGTTGTAGAAGTGTGCTTTTTTTCTGTGGGACTTCAGTGTGCAGTAAGATGAGGCAGCAAACTGATAAGCAGAGTTGTTGTGATTGATTGCTTTCTGACCTGAGAATGCTAATAAATCAATACCAAACACCACATCCATTCATCACTATCATAATTCCTCACTTGGAACATTGTTGTTGTCAGTTTGAATCTGATAGAGCTGAGAGGTGGAAACGCTTTTATAAGCAGAGCTGTGGAGAGCTCAGTGAGTTGTGTGAGTAGATTCATTCTTGCTTGCTGTTACTTTAGCATTCCTGTATTGATTGCACTGCATAACTCACTTAGTTTATTAGTATGTATGTTTGGTTTTGCCCACAGGATGAAATATTTTGGTATTCCTTGTAAACTCCTCTTTTCTTCTCGGCAAGGACAGACTCTGATCAGTGGTCTTTCATCTCTGCATTGCCGGTTGAGAGAAACAGGAAACTGACACTTCCCTCACCCTACCACTCTTAATGAAGTCATCCAATGACACAGAGACAGAGTTAGGATCCTCCTGAGCCCTAGAGGCTGTATGGATGGATGCATATGACTGTACAATGGGCATGAAAAAGAGAGAGGCTCCTGAGAGGCAGCCTATTTAAACCCCACAGGGCCCAGAAAGTGAGCTCTGCATTATTCTTCCAACACGATGCAATTCAAGTATCCTGGAATGTGTCACCAAATGGCACTGCTGGGATTTTTCAAACACGAGTTCACACCGCACCAGGATGGGCGCTAAGCTTGTGCTAATTGAGACAGTGTAACACAGATGCTCTCCACCGGGTTAAGGGGAAAGCAGAGCGTGATGACACAGGCTGTTTCCCACGTTTTCTCTAAATAGTCTTCCACAGAGCCATCTTTGCTTTGCAAGTTCTCATGCACCCTCTGTCCATTGACTGTAGAGAAACGAGAGGACCACGCATGAATAGACGACAATAGAAAACAGATGAATTAAATTTTATTACCATCAAAGTCATCAACTCAGTCAAGGAGTACGGTACAGAGCTCACAAATGCAGGACAGGACCTACAGGTGACCACTGGTCCTGGCAAACATCTACAAATACACCTGTAAGTGCATGGTAAAATGAACAGACATGGGAGTACTAAATACAGTGAGTAATGTATTGGAAAAAAAGCATTGCTTTAAACCGTGTAACAGTATTTCAACAGTATTTATTTGCCATCTAAACAAAGAGAACGGACCACATGAAATAATCTATTCACATAAAAATCTCTTCTGGTTAAGCCTCTCGTTAAAATCTAAATGTTTATCCTCGACAATATAAGAAACGATCTGATCATGGTATAATCTGAAAGATCGGTGTGTGTACCGATCAATATTTGCAGAAATGGAAAGGAGATACATGTAGAAATAAAGTGTAGATACAAACTTATCTCAAACTTGAATTAATACATGTGATCAGTTTTCTCCCGATTTTATCTGAAATGCACGTTTTCATATAAATTCACAGGTCTGCACAGTAAATACTCTTGAGGTTGGGCAGAGTCAGACAAAGAAGCCGAGCACGAGCCAGGACACATTACACTTTAATGATATCATTTAATAATTGTATTAACAATGTGGCTGCTGTCTCTCTGTGACCAGGGAATAAAAACCAATAGTGTGTTCAAGCAGGAAATAATGTTGGTCACACTCACACAGCACAGCACACACAGCACACACACACAGCGCGCACACACACACACACACACACACACACACACACACACACACACACACACACACAGATAGATAGATCTGACAGCAGCCATGTGTTAGTTAAGTGGCCAGGACTATAGACTTGTACTGACAGGTACATGGACACCAGGAATCACAGTTTCTGCAGCCAGTCGAATATTGCTCAATTTCCTCTAGTGTGATTACAGAGAACTCCTTCTGTAGCTCTTTATTAATGCTCGAGGGGACCAGTGACGAGAGGATGGTTTGTTATTACTGTTTATCAAGTAGAAGCTGAAAATCTTTGTAAATAAAAAAAAATATACACAGATAAATAATAAAAAATAAAATAAATAAATTCTGAAATGTTAAACATATGCTTCATACATTGTTTCGTACAATACAGGTCAACAAAGCTGAGTTGGTGAAGATGACCCTAGTTACCACAAAGTCAAAATGATGCATGTCTTCCCTTGAAAGCCGCATGTGGTCTGTTAATGCACATTTTGTTTTTACAGTTAAAACCAAATATTAAGACGTGTGGCATTTGAGTCAGTATCCAAACACAAAGGACAGGATTAGGTCAGAGGAGTCACAGGTAGACTGAGATCTAGCAACAACAACAAAAAAAACAAAAAAACAATTTGTGTCACGTGATGGATAAAGATATCATGAAGTCTGCTGTGATGTTTCTAAAAAAGGAAAGCTACAAATTAATTTGAATGCATAGAACTGCTATGTAATGACAGTTTTTCTTTTTTCAAAATTTTCTTTTCATATAACTTACATTGACAGCAGGGGTGCTAACTGAACAGTAATAATAAGACAGCAAAGTGTAGCTGTAGTATGCTTTTGAAAAGAACATTAGCCTCGACACGGCTTGTGGCAAAGAGGCGAGAGTGCTGTGGCCTGCGATAAGACGAGTAGCGCATCTTTATCCACCAAGTGGCTGTAAATGTAAAATGAACAGCAAAAAGTGAGAATGCATGCTGTTTCGGCTACTTCTACAAAGGTCTCTATATACAGAATCTTTACACTTACAGCTATGAGGTTCTTTCCTGAGCAGGAAGTTAGCAAAGGAACATAGTGTTTGTGTGTGTGCTTATGTGTGAAGCTGCCTATAGTTCAAAATACAGTACTGGGCATAAAAACTCCCAGTCCAATCTCAGCATTGTTCAACGCACAATAACTGGTTGGTGTAGACAATAACATATAGGAGAGATAAATATATTTCCCATGTGAGAGGGATATATGTGAGGGCCTGCACTTACTCTGTTACAGTACGAGGTCCAAATTTAGGGAAAAGCAAAACATTTTCTACTGATTCTCAGAACAAATACTATAATTGCAAGACTGGCAGAGAGAAGTTTCCCAAGTTGGCTCATTAAAAAGGAATAAAAGCTGTTTTCAGCACAATTATGTCTTCCTATATTCTCTTATCACTAAGAGGAGAAGACTTCAGCTGTAAGCCGCAGCTTGACAGCAAATCTGTCTTCGCCCATAAACCTATAATGTGGGGAGATAGATGTGATTTATGTAATCTGACGGAAAACACCAGAGGGGTCAGTGAAAAAAGACACAATACATGTAAAGAGAAAGCCAATGCAACGCAGCACTCAGGAAAGGTAGCACACAGCCTCCATGAGATGATGCTAATGCTGCAAGTGAGAGAGAAGCAGAGTCAGTGTCACCATGCTAGCAGCTAATGTACAGTGTGCAGGAGTTGGTGGGGACTGCAGAGGTCACACGGGGAAGGGCGGGGGTTGGGTGTCTAACCCTGCTCGTCCCCGGCCCCGGCGGGTGCGTGGTGAGCAGTCGATGCTTCTCCATTACAACGCGGTGTGGGTTCGGCCTCCTGCAGTGCCGGGCTCTGCTGCTGTGGCTCAGCGTCTGACGCTGACACCCCGGCTGAGGCCTCTGGCGCTGGTTGGCTTATCTCCACTCCGGCAGGGAGCTCTGTGGCCCCAGCGGGGGCTCCCTCAGGTGTTGCACCAGATGAAGGTGCGGAAGGTTCGGTGGCAGCCTGGGGAGCTGCGGGGTCTGCTGGGGCGCCGGCTGCTGGGCTGGTTGCCCTCGAGTCGCTCTGCTCAGGTGCTCTCAATCTCTTCATGATGGTGGTGACCCGCACCGCTTTCTGTGGGACGAGGTAGAAAAACTGATCTCCGATAGGTTCAATAACCTGAAAACTTGCTCAGAGAACATCAACGCTCATTGGACTGCCTCAACTTACAGTTACACAATACTGCGCTACAATACCTGCCTGTTCAAGGACCACACAACTACTGAAGGAATTTCGAAGAAGAGCTTCCTGGAGAAGAGAACAAAAGGGCTTACCTTCCATTTAGCTCTGGCAAAGTTCTTCTCTATTTGTGCGCACACATTTTCCTTGATGTTCTTATCTGAAGCTGCACCACCAGAGATCCTGTTGCACAAAATGGGAAAAAGAAACTTCACAACAGAGCTTTATACTTCCCCTATCTTTGGATGTCACAGGCTGCTGCTCACAGTACCACTCAATTTACTCTTCTTTTTTCTGACTAAAAAACTTTTGCCAAGGACTTTTTAACCTTTTATTGTTATTCTAATCATTTTTCTGCCTGGGCCCTTTTCTTCTAGTTTTTGCCTTTTGTGACGATCAATTGTGTTCAAAGTTTATAGTTTGCTGGAAGCGCCTCTGTCAGATGCAACTAAGAAGGGCGAACAGTCGAACTGAAAATTGATCAATATGTGATTTTTTTAACACAATAATAAACAATTCAAACAGTGCTTTCAAACAGTAGCAACTGCCAAAGCAATGCTCAATGAGGTGCCCCTATATAAGAAAATAACATAACAAAGGGTGCTCTCTGCAATTTTGATTATTTTCTATACTGGGACACAGACTGTGTTGTGGTTATACCAAGAAGAAGAAGAAGACAAAACAGAGGCTGTGAGGTCTGTACTTAGGCGCTGTGGTGATGTAAGCCAAATGCTAACATCATCATGTTAACAAGCTCACAATGAAAATGTTAACATGCTTATATTTAGCAGGTATAATGTTTACCACGTTCCTTAGTGTTCAATTGTTCATTTTTCTGATAAGTTTGGTTTTAATTAGCTATTTGATGCTACAAAACGAGAGTGCAACGTCATGATTGACAGGTGTAACTGACTCGTGATTGGGTCGAGCAGGTGTTTGGGCAGGACCTTGTTACTGTGACTCTTCTCCCTGATCACTGCTGTGCAGACTCTGGCTCAAGATGACGTCACCAGTGCAACATAGCGACACTCGTATCCCTGATATTTTTGCTTCAGTTTTATGCAGTAAGAAGTGGAGATGCGTCGTTCGCCTTTATAATACAGTCATTGATGCAAACTTTTTTCTTGTTTAAAGTGGCCAAAAAAATCAGTCATTGCAGGGTTAAACGTGTTAACATACTTTGGCTAATTAGTACTAAACGTAAGTAAAGTACAGTTGAATGTCATTAGTTTCAGGAGATGAACTCTGGGGGGCCGAATTCAGTTATTTCAGATTTATGTTCACTTGCTGAAGAAAGTTCAGGGTCATCCAGCACTTTTAACTTTTTAACATCTGGAAATCATCCGCGTAGCAGTGATAATCACAACCAATGTGGTTGTGTATAATTTGACATGGTGAAAAAACATGTCTATGGAAAAGAATGGGGCCAAGGATGAAGCCTAGTGGGAACAGCACAAGTCAGAGGAACCACTGAAGAGGAAGCATCAGCAGCAACAGCTGAAAAGTTTCACAGGTACAATTTGAACCCCGTTTAAGGGGGCATCCCTGATACCAGTGAATCCAGTAATTGTCAGGACATTTCAACAGGAATCTGAAAATGTCAACCTGCAGGTGGTGCTAAAGGAAATGTCATTGGATCACCAAAGTCACTGAAATACATCCTCAGGGACCTTGAATGCCTGGAACAAAATATTTGTTTTAGATATTTCAGACATTGCCATCCCTAGTGCCACACTGCTAAAAATATCTTTTAAACTCATGTTGGATAATGTGGAAAGCAGCTTTGGTTTATTGTCAAGTGAAGCTTCAGTTTTGATGCTATTAAGTTTCCCAACACAGTTATAATTGACGTGTCAAACAAGCAAGAAAGCCCGATCTCATGCCGCCTTTCTGATCACATTAATACAGTCTGATCACTTTGTTCTGATTTAAATGGGCTTCACAATATCTCAAAGCTCTGCTGCCTACCATTCATGGTTTATAGCCTCCTGGGCTGTCAGTCTCTGGTCTTGATCCACCTCCATCAGACGAGCAACCAGACTCTTAGCTGTCAGAGAGAAATCACACAGACAAACCTCAATGAAAAAGCGTTTATTCTCCTGATGGCTGGGAACATAAATACAACGTGTTTGAACACTCCAGAGGTAAGAAGAGGAGAAAACCCTCTGGAATTTGAAATGTTTACCCAGCAAGCTGTAATTGTGTTCCCTCACAGTGTTGACTTTATCCTAAAAGTACCTGAGTCAGAGATGTCATCCCAGTATGGAGAGTCAAACTCATAATCGCCTGCCAGGATCTTGCGGAACAGGTTCTTGTCATGGTTTTCATAATCATCATCATCGGTTTCATCGTAGAAAGGAGGGTTTCCTGACAGCCTGGATAAAAAGAGCTTTGGGAGTCAAAAAACATCTGTATACCATATTTACACAAGGTCTATTAAGTAATCTCTCTTCATTTTTCCTTTCACAACTTACAGTATGTACATGATGACACCTGTAGCCCAGCAGTCCACAGGCCTGCCATATCGCTGTCTGCCAACCACCTCAGGAGCTGCACAAGAGCACAGACATTTGATAAAAATGTCCTGACATTAAAAGCTGAGACGTGACGTTCTCCACCAATCTGTCCATATGACAACCTCTTAAATCTATATGCTCACCCAGGTACTCCGGTGTCCCACAGGGGTCTTTGATTAGTCCATTCTCCAACTTGGCAAGATGGAAGTCACTGATGACTATTTTAGAGTGCTTCAGACGGTTGTAGTAAACCAAGTTCTCCAACTGTGGACAATGACGTATTACAGTGACAACAGTTAGTATAATATTCATGTTTAAGGTGCAGAGTATGAATTTCAGTGGTGGTGTCATTTCTGAACAGTGAAATGAGTCCTGGTAAAAAGAGACCAGTGACTATATAAGCAGAAGTTCATGGTGAACAGTGAAATCCTTTTAGACAGATTAAAGTTTTATTGCCACCACAGTCATAGTGTCTTATTTACTTCTGCCTAAAACCCAGATTAGTCAGTATAGTCTAAGTCCTGTAGTGCGTTACCTTGAGGTTTCTGTGCACGATATGCAGGGAGTGGAGGTAGGCGACGGCCTCCAGCACCTGGCGCACCACGTTGCTGGTGTCTCGCTCTGAGTAGTAGCCTTGATCCAGGATCCAGTCAAACACCTCTCTGCCTGTTGCACTGTAGAAACAAGAAATATGTTAGGTGTTTGTTGTTGAAAACTACAAATGTGATTTTATTTCAACATCAGAAGATTTCAGGCATCTATTTTTTATTTTTATTTTTTTTTGAAAAGCATTTGTTGGCTTTGCTGGATGATGAGACAATAATGAGACTATTCAAAAGGCAAAAAAGGACTGATAGTATAGAAATATATAACTGTACTTTTGCATATTTATATTCATATTTATATATATATTTGCATATTTATATTGAATATTTAAATTGAAATTACATCATTCCCAGAGTAAAATCTGTTGACAAGACTGCATAATCTGCCATACCTGTTTAAAGGAAATGGTTTCAGTCATATCCCCACAGTTTCTTTTGTGTTTGATCATTTTCTTTCTAACCAGAAACCCATAAATCAAGTGTCCTCGAAGGACAAGATGAGTATCCTACATCTAGCACATCCATGGAAATGCATCAAATTCCCCAAGAACACATGCTGATGAGAATGGAGCAGCTAGCAAGCAATCATATCCGAATACCAAATGAGTGGAGTTCAGAGATTTTCTCATATCTACAGGGCCTCGGGCTACAACCGCTCTTTCCCCAAGAGTGAATAATCAACACATACAGTTCAACAGACCCCAGCTACAGCAAAGACAAGCAGAGAGCCTTTTCTCCCGGCTCATCAGACATCTGAACTCACAGTTCAAGGAAGAGGAAGTACTCTTTTTTGGTCTCAAAGACGTCCACCAGCTGGAGAATATTGGGATGCTTCACCCTAAGGAGACGCATCACAAAGCACAAGACAGAGACACAGAGAGAGAGAGATACGACATCTGAATCATTCATTCAAGACATGACTGAGATCTACATGTTCAACTGCCCATCCACAGATAAGCTGATTTATGTGCTCTAATTTATCCATATGGGCATAAAGACAGCAACAGTACCAGCTGGGAAACTTCATGGTGAATTTAACCCATAAAGCTACAATACTTGAAGCTGCAGAGTGTGGTGTTCCTGCCTGTCAATGCCCCATGAAGTTGACAAAACACTCCTGCTGCCTCCGTGATCCTTTTCACGTTTTATATTGAAGAACTGAACAAGGAACACGGTCAAAAAAGACTGAAGCTCCGTCTGAAATGGCTTACTCATTCATTCAAGACTCAACAGGTTACTGAGTGGAAAAAGATTTGGGGCATTAATGCATCGTTCTCATTTTGTGTCACTGACAGGTGTAGTGTTTCATAACTGTAATTTACTTATCTCAAACATCAGGGAGCCGAGGGAAAGCACAGCTGTTTAGAAGAAAGTAGTGGACATGGTTTGGACAATTTTTGTTCTATTGTTGGTATTTCTAAAAGCACATATACATAAAATGTGCGTTGAATTAAAATGGCGGTGAATGTAGTCCAGGTAGCTAAGGGGCACAGATGGGGACATGCTCTATTTTTAGCTTATCACAGCTACATGTGGACAATGATATTGTTTTCTCTACTACAGCCGATCAGGGTTTGCTCTCCACTGATCCAGCTGTTGTAAGTGTTGTAACAGTGTGAGTGCACTGCATGCACTGGCCTACACCGCTCTTTTTCTTTCCTTACATGGATCGGTGTGCTACTAAAGCTCCGTGCTCTCTGCTTTGCCCTGAAGAAAAAAAAACTGAACGATCTTCAAGAGCAGGTTGTGTAATGTCCCTCTGTGCGTAATCCCACATTGTCTCTGCATCACACACCAGAAACTCAATTTCAGCCAAGGAGAAGATGTAAACAACTCTACAGTCAACCAAACAAACAAAGTCATATGTAACAAGTGGACAACACTGCTTCATATTGTTTGGGGAGGGTTGGTTTTATTTCAGAAGGGTTTTTGGACGCCTACACTACCGGTCATACTTTTTATAACACCTGGATTTTTCCAGCTGTTAAATTTAAATTTAAATCATTCAAAGTCTCTGTGTTTGAAATTAAAGAATAGTACAAATAAACACCTGGAAATTTAATATCATGGAATCTACTTGTTGAACTAAATTTAATCTGAAATTTTGACTTATCCAGCAGCTGAACACGCTCATGACATTCTACAAGGGAAATCAAATATTGTTCAGAAAGTTCGTCTCAGCACTTTTCCTACGAATGTGCTGCACTTTTATTTTTGCCTGTTTCACCTTTGCTTTCCTTTCCTCTAATGTTTTGGCTCATTATCTCGCTGTAGGATGAACCCCTGATCAGTCAGACTGTCTTCCTTTTTCTCTCCATTCTGATAGAAATATACCGTCCTACTTCCTGCAGAACAGTATTGTCCTAATAATGCATCAGAGGGTGGAGAACACAGTTTGTTCCGTCACTACCTTTGTACAGACAGAGGGTTTGCAAGTCATCATCAAAAGTTGGGACAGCTGTAGGAATTGTTTGAACTTGAACTTCCAAGGCTTCATTTACTTCAATTACCGGGTTTGCACGGCAGTCTTGCCCAAAACAGACATTTTTAGAAAAGTCGACAAAACACAATTGTGTGTCTGTTTCCACTGAGTTCTGTTATATGAATAAAGCTGAGTTTTTTCTCATCTCACGAAATCATCCCAATTAAACGTGACAACAGATTTCCAGCATCTGCCTCTCGGTTGGAACTGGCTCTTTGGGGCATGATGCAGCAGGCGCCACGACTTGAATTTTTCAGAATATTGGTTCGTCAATTAGTCTGAAAAACCACCTCATGCGAGCGTATACTTTTTTTTTGCAACATTTGAGAGCTTTTTTGAAATTCATGCATTTCCATTTCTCGTGTTTTAGTTGGCAATTTCAAATTGAGCAGGTCAATGGAAACACATCTTGCTGTCAAAAAAAAAGAAAAAAAAATACAATTTATTCATTGTAGAACAAAAACATCTAAATGTCATTTTTTCCCCACACTAATTGTGTATTCAATGCCCTATGTTTTCTTTGAGATAAATAAATAAAAAAATAAAATAATTAAAAAAATAAAAGTAATTTGTGCTTATACATTTAATGGTGCAAATGTCTTCTTCACTTAAGGCCATTATTCATGGTTCTGTGACATTGCCAAAACAGCTGCTGCAGTGAGAGGTGAAGTTATTACCAATGACAAAGTTCTTGCACACCATTAATGATCGCCTACGGACGTGTTTTAATACTCTGCCTGTAAAAAGGAATCATCTGTGTCTCATATGCTTTTCCCACAAAAAAAAAAAAAAAAAAAAGTTAAATTACCTCATTAAAAATTCTTAAAATTACATGTACTCCCTCACCATCATTAAAACGCCCAGAATCTATGAATATGCAAGTTTTGTTCCTTTCAAAAGTTTAACTGCTGGACACAAGATGTCTCAACTCTCCATGTCACACCTGTGTAACTGCATATTGAACCACAACTGGCTTCCAACTGAGCCTTAGTGTAAAACTCTACATATACATTACTCTGCACAATGAGGCCCAAACAACCATGTGAAGTAACAATTAAGACATATTTTTGGGTGGAGGGGGACTTTGAGTCAGAAACTCTAACTGAGAAAAACCGAGCTGTTTGTGACTGACTGTGCAGGATTTTTTGGGGTTCATTCTAAGTCATAAAAATAAATTAATGAGGATTAGTACTTGAATGAGCACTTCTTTTCTTTTCTAATGCCTATATTCAAGCATTTTATATTCAAGACTGCATTTGATGTTTTGCCAGGCATTCTCCACAGCCTTTGAAACTGTCATCACATTTGATTATTCACTAAAACCCCCACTGATGATTAAAGCATGAAAAACTGGAGCAGTTTCCATCATATCCCCGTTATTGCGTTGTCTGAAGTGCAATTTTCAGAAGAATAAGAATCCATGTTTTGAAAGGCTCCTTACACAGAAATCACACCTTCATCATCGCCGTGCTTCACTGCGCCGCCTGCTGTCAGCGACAAATAGTTTGACAAGACCCAGGTTATGCTAATGTGGATTTTACAGGAAAGTTAGATAATAGAGAAGCTGAGAGAAAACGTCTTGGATAAACTGTGTGTGATCAGTCAATAAAGTGAGGTCCACTTGACTTTTTTTGTTATTATTATTAATAAATTGTATTCAATAATTTATTACTTATAAATAAATACTTTTTTTTTCTGCTTTGTTTTTCTTTTTAGAAATCCATGTCGTCTGTGCAGCTCGTGTTTAAGAAGGTGAAATAAGGAAAAGAAAAAAACAAATGAAAATCTTCCAACACAAAACTAATCATGCATTGTTTAACTTGGACTGAAGGGAATATTAGTCCCAATCCAACAACTCACATCTTTAAGATGAGGATCTCATTTTTCGCAGCCTTGCGGACTTTCCTTCCATCCTTCTTTAGGAACTTTTTACACGTGTACATTTTCATTGTAGTTTTGTCCTTAGCCCTGAATATCTCACAGAACTCCTCCCTGAAAGGAAGCATTGCAGAATTATTTGCAGAAATATAAAGACAGATCATGACAGTTTCTTGAAAAAAGATAGAAACATAATTCAAAAGTCTGTATGGGTGTTTTTGCTCTGTAAGCCGCTGGAGAGATACTCACGATTTAACAATCTGACCCAGGTCATATTTATCTGTCACGTCTGAAGGATTGTTATAATCCTTCTTTTCCCCGATTGTTATACAGCCAAATGGCATGGCCACTCCTGACCTGTGGTAAGAGAAACAGAGAAAGAGAGAGAGACAGAAGAGTGGAATGAATAATAAGACAGAAATAGCATAATGCTGAGAAAGCCTGTCAAAAGTGTAAGAGTTAAAGAGCCACCAGAGGCAGTATCAGTGCAGCGGATTGTTTCGCTTACTGTAACAGAGCCTTTCATGATCCTGCAGTAAGAAAGTCCAGAGCCTCAGAGCCGGCTGCACAGAGTCAGCTTTATGTTTGGATCTAACTTTTATATAACTAATACAACAGCTGGGGGAACTGTCTGGGGTGAAGCAGAAGTCTGGACTGAATGTACTGTTGCTTTTCTGTGGGATGAAACTTACAAACTGTGGGGGTCAGGGAGCAGAAGGAGCAGCATTTAATGAGTGTGGGGCCCGGCGAGGAAACCGCAGCAACAAGTGAAGCATTTCCAATCAAGACAGGGAGCCGGCCAGTACAGGCAGAGCACCCCAGGACTGAGAGAGGAATTAAAGTACTTTACGAGCTCTGCATCAACACTTAATTGCGGTGCAGCCTCTCTGTGCCTCTCTTTAACAGCATGGAGTGAAATTTGAGACCATCCTATGCTACTTTACTCTGTTTTTTCTTTTCTGTTTTTTGTTTTTTTTTTGTCTAAGAATTAGAGTCAGCTAAGTTGGAGCTATTAGTTTTGTGTTTCAAGGGAAGAGACATTTTTTAGTATTTCATTCCCTGGAGCAGAGATCTGAAAACAGCACGGTGGTGCAGTGGTTAGTACTTGTGGGTTTTTCTCCAAGTGCTCCAGCTTCCTCACAGTCACACAAGACATGCAGGTTAAGTGATGACTCCGATGTGAGACTGAATGGTTGTTTGACTCTATATGTCGGCCCTGTGATAGACTGGCGACCTGTCCAGGGCGGGCGTACCCCAGCTCTCGCCCAGTGTCAGCTGGGATTTGCTCCAGCCTGCCAGCAACCCTCAAAGTATAAGTGGTATATTAATGGATGTATGCAGTTAAGACTGTATTTCTGTCTGTGTAAGTGAGCATGTGTGCCTAAACCCTAAGATCTATTCTGTATACTGTAGCAGAGTAGAATAATGGAGCAGATACTGGTGACAGTGACAGTTGGAAAATCTAATACCCTGATATATCAACCAATTTCTCTTTTGCGTAATTTTTGATCCAATAAATGACCAAGATATGTACAAAATGGGACACTGTACTGTTGAAACGTGTCAGCGTGCCTTTGGAGGAACGAACTATGTAATAACATTGTTTCTAAAGCTGTATTTGTAGTTCAGTGTTAAGTGCTTAGCTACAGCAGCTATGCAAGTAGACCCGCTAGCTGCACAGTAAGCTACGCTGTAGCACCCCCTGTCTTCTGATTCGTGATGGAGTCAATTTCTCAATCCACTATCCAAGCGTCTGACACACACCACGTGAGCAGCTGGATTCCAGCTGGACAGGAAATTAGTGCTCCCAGCGAAGCAAAAGTGCAGCACATAACTGACTGTGAAACAGCAAATTCTCATTTTTACACTGAAGGTTTTGTACAGTGTGAGCTACAAGGTACTTGTAGGTGAATTTTGCTATCTTCACAGAAAGCCAGGCTAGCTGTTTCCCCCTGATTCCAGTCTTTGTGCTAAGCTAATGCTACCTAAAACTTATCTGGAATTTCAACCCTGTCTCCGTGAAATTTTGTGTCGCTGCAACTAAACTGCAACAGCAAATATGTTTGTGACTGGTTACTGATTATGTTTTCTATTAACGGAATGAGGAAATGTTGTTCATTTACGTATTTGACACGTGGCAAATACGTTGATACTGAACATACCAGTAAAATGTTCACAGACGGTATATTTGTTTGTGGATTTTGTTACGTTGACAGTATATTGCAGTTAAATATCAACTTCGAGTGACTACAACATCATTCAACTTTTTTATGTCATGTGCTTTGTTCATCCGCCAGCCACCCCAATCACCACCACTGCACCACTGCTGTTAATAAATGTAGAGCTTCATTCATTCAAAAACATTGTTGCCTCTGGACAGAATCCAGCCAGTGATACATTATTTTAACATAATTTCTAGGAGACACAGTTGTGAATTCCTGTACTACAATTTATTGTCAATTTATCAGTTGGACTCTATTATATATGAGTTTCATTAAGGCATCGAAGTCTGATCTAAAACACACGACTCTCACTGTGAAACTAAACACACATTAGTGTTGGGAGATATGGATGAAATCTTATATAATCCTATAAATGGTATGTGTGTTTTTATAGCACATTATCCAGTAAATGATGATATTGTAAATTTTCTGTAAACGCAATTAAGAAATCGTTTATAGATAAACTGGGAATTCAGTGCATTAAATGTCTAACAAATGTACACTCTTCATCACACTAATGCAAGGATCATATACATCTAATAACGCCATAAAACGGTCCTGCTTATAGCAATATTGCCTACAATGGCCTGATACGTCTGCTAAGGGATATCTGTCTTGGTACAAATGGCTAAATCTCTTACATCTCTCTTGACAGCAGTATTGTAGTATTACCCAACCCCAGACATCATGTGATTCAACACACAACGAAAGGGAGATTTTACTGCCGAATGCTCTTACAATAGCCAGATAAATGCGAGTAAATTGTTTTCAAGGGTATAAGCTGCCAAAAAACAAAAAAGGCAGAAAAAAGGAAGTGGGATCAGATCATTTACAACAAGCAAGTATGTGATTCAATGTTCTCCTGATTCAAATCCCTGGACAGATTGGAGAAGTCTGCTGGGAGAACAGTTGTTGCCTCTCTCATCTACTACCAGTGTCCTTGAATAAGGCTCTACACAACTTCTTACGCCAGTAAAACTGCTCAAGGCCCTATAGTACAACACCGCAGACAAGTCCTGAGCTGGAGTGAATGTTCTGTGTGTGAAGCTGTTTGAATGCAAAGCAGGACAGTGCTGAAATTTCTCCAGATGAATAAAGGGCAAGAAATATTTATTTCCTAGACACACAAAATCCATCTGCGCTGGCAGTCTGGGTGATGGATGTCTACATGTAAATGAGCGCAGCCAGCGTGAGAAGTATAGCGCCATGTGTAAGAAGGGCAATCTGTTCACTGTAGCTCCGCGAATCGACTCGTAATCCAATCTAAATGACCGAGGCTCAGCGCGGAGATGTCTCAAATGTGCTGAGAGAAAACTGTGCTTCCTTTTCTCATCTGAGGCAACAGTCTGTGCTGTGTAGTCGGCACGAGGAGCTGACCTTTTCTGGCTCCCTGTGTCTCTCTCTCTCTCGCTCTCACTCACTCTCAATATACTGCACTGTCTCTCTGTGGTAAATGCTGTGGCTCAGTGAAGTTATGGTGCAAAGAGGAAAAGAAAAGCTCCGCAGGAACCAGTGGTTTAAATGGAGGTAATTCTGAGTGAGTCTGGCATTAGAAAACATGAGGAAAAAAATTCTATAATATGCTTGAAAACATTTATATTCAGCAAGCAGCTGTAACAGTCCACAGGAGAGTCGTAGCATTGTAGAGAGGGATAATAGGCTGGAGGAAGAGAGAGTGAAAAAGCTATTCTGATGGTGATGATGAAATCTAATTTAATGAAGTAATCCAGCAAATAAACAGGGCCTTTGTGGGTTTGGAAAGGTTTCTAAGCCCAATCGATGAGGACTTTATTTTCATGTGTTCATAATGAGCTTGTAAAATAAACAAATAACAATAAGAAGACTATAGGAAAAAAAAATACAAAGTTTAGCAAAAACCTAAAAGTATTTACACAAAGTATCTCAGTCAGACTCTCCCATGTTTTTTTTGTTTGTTTGTTTTTTTTTAAAGTGTTGATTAGTGTAATGCTTGACGAATTTACAAAGCACTTCAAGCAGAGAGAGCAGGATCCCGGCAGTATCACAACACAGGCTGTATAATGGGCCCATTTGGACTGACCACCATCAGCAACATTCGAGCATTATCACCCCGTGTTCTGACTGTTATCTGCCCTTCGGGAGCAGCGATCGATGGCTCGTGATGCTTTATGGCCCAGTGTGTGACCTGGGCTGAGTCTGCTTGGGCCGTGCTGCTGTGTCACCAAGGATTCTCTGCAGATGCGGTGAAGATTTACAACATGGAGGATGGATAGTGATGAAGATCTTGGGTTTTTCAGGCAAAGCGCAGCTCCCGCTTCAGCCAGGCAAGGTGATAAGCAAAATGAGGCTTTTCTTCCCTCCGCCTGTTTAAGATCAGGCTACAGGTTCGGCTAATTTAGGTGAAGTCTAAGATTAGGTTAAATAAAATTAGTCTGCATTGTATTAGAGCGCTGTATCAGGATTTTTTTAAGGCATTGGTAAGGGGGATTATTTTACCTGCTGCTGTGGTATAATGTGATGATACACCTCAGGGAAATGGCTGGTGCCTTTTTGGTATGGTAAGCCTTTATAAATGTGAGGGAGCAGCTGATCGCACTAATCCCACCATGAAATTTTTCTGAGATGAAGAAGTGTTTTTCTTGATTTTGGACATCTTTCATTTACTGTTCAGTTCTTTGGCTCACATCTTCTCTCTCTCTCTCTCTCTCTCTCTCTCTCTCTCTCTCTCTCTCTCTCTCTCTCTCTCTCTCTCTCTCGCTCTCAATGCTGTGCCTCAACAATTATATTTTAACAAGTTTTTATGTAGATAAACCTTCACCTGAGCAAAGTAAAAATATATGATTAAACGAAATTTGCTCTATTAATTGCACGTGGATGATCAGCTTTCATTGCATGTTCCTCATCCTAAGCTAAACTGGAAACAAATAAAACTACTGTATAGACCACTAACTGGCTTTTCCAAAAAAGTTGTATGGGTTGCAATGATCTGAAAACTCTGTCCATTTTATGCATGCTGTTTTGCAGTCTGAATAAATCTTAAATGAAAGACTTGCTAATGTGAGAGCAATCTTATTGGTTTGTCGTGCACACATTAATCAGATATATATTCAGTTTGAAGCTGCACTAATCAGTATTTTTTATTAACAATGGATCAAG